TTATCATTCATTTTTGTAGAATGTGATTTAAATCAGAAAAAAAAAACTCGGATGTATAGTTTGATAGTTTCTACTAGTATATGCTAAAACATAATACACTTTAACTATTAGTTTTTGGGTATTACAGACCTTAACATGCAATGTGACCTTGGTCTGAAAAGCATATTTTGTTTGCACAGAAACTTAATCATAAGAAGTCATAAGTAGAATCCTTCTTTACTGCCCTTTTTCTAGGACTAGGAAATTTATTGCTTGTGGGACAGGTAGGATATGAACAATGGGCCAAATAGAGTCCAGGGTTATCTCATCTGTGTGGAAACTGCTGCTGAAAATCGATGTGACCTCTGCTACACTGTCATCCCAGTTCCTACCCTCTGTGTCCTATTTGTCTTTTGATAGAAATTTAGATCTGTGTGCTGTCTCTATGTGTCTCTCTTGGGCCAGATTATCAAAATGAATCATTGCCTGCATACCTCTTATATTTCTATTTATTTTCCTGGTGTTGACTAGGTCTGATGAAATATGATTTTTTTTGCATTTGATCCTCACTGCAGTAAGCAACATCTAATTCAGCTGTGTCTATCTCTTTAAAGAAGAGTAATACTATTTTGCAACTTCAATCTACTGTACAGCAGCATTGCAAACCATAGACCATGCAACCTGTATTCTTAGTTAATGGTAATTTTTCTTTCAGACAATTTAATGGCATTTCTTCCATCTCCAAATAGAAGACTTCTAGCAATTTTAACGTCATTATAATTTTGTTTTGTGAATACTAAATGTATTGGTTTCCTTTTCAGGTATCTTGTTTGTAAGGCAACATTCATATTCTTACCACTGAGATTACAAATATGTGTAGAGTGATACAGAACAAGGAATCCATTAATTTTAAGAAATCTGTCCCTGAAACAAATGTTTATTCAAAGTAACTATTTTATTGTCTCTGAATCAGCAGGAAGTCAATATTCTACCTTTGTAGATGTTCATTTTATAAAAACAGATTTTCTAGGCTATATAAATTCATACTTTAAGATTTATAAACATCAGTATAAAGGTATAGAACCTCTTGAACTATTAATATTGATAGGTCATTATGAAGTCCTTCTATCCACTTAATGCATTCATGTGGAGAAGACAAAATACAAATGATACAATAAATCATAATATTGCTTGGTTATTTGTTGAGAAATGTCCTTTAGAGACATTAGAGCTGCTGCCTAAGACGTGTTTTAGGATTTAGTTTTTTAAAAAATAATATTTCAAATGAAACAATGTAGTTGAATAAGGTCACATAATTTGATTAATATGCTGATTCACTCTGAGTACTTCAACTCTTCCAAACCTACCACTGACTTAAAAAAAAAGAGAGAGAGAAGTGTTCTATAAGTGGTTATGGTAAATTTTAAATATCCAAATTATTATAAGTAAATAATATGGAAATAAAACTACAAGGGAGTTGTAGAAAACACATACATCTATGATCAAAATACTATTTTTAAAGGGTTACTAGAAATAATTCCTAGGAAAATATTCATCATAACTTCCTGTGCTAAAAAGAAATAATGGGATATTTTATGCATTTTATTGGATTATTTAAGACCAATAAACAAATACTTATTTTAACATTTGGATTCAAATAATGTGAAACCTTTTATTTTCTAAAATAATCATTTAGCATTTTTTAAAATTCCTATTGATTTTAGAAAATAGAAAAAGTAAAGCTGGCCTATATTAAGTGCCTTTTATTCACAGATAATACTATCATGTTAAGTACTCTCACTGAAGCTTCCAGCAATTGTATGCAGCAACTTCCCACACTCAGATTCCCACAGCAAACCATCATGACTGTGAAATCAGTGTAGTTTAAGACTTTATACACTTCGTATGTAGGCTGCTTGCAATTGAAAAAATGAAGTCTAATTGTGCGACAAGTCGATATTTACATTTCTACAGGAACCAGAACCAATAGCTAGGGTTTTCAGTTTGCTTTTTTCTAAACCATGTAAAAATTATCTAGGTCTAGATTCAAATCTAGTCTTTTTTAAATTTACTTATTTAAAAACATTTTGTTTTGTTTATTCAGGATATTATGGGGGTACAAAAATTTTGGTTACATGAAATGCATCTGTACCGCCCAAGCCAGTACTACAAGTGTGTCCCTCCCCCATACAGTGTGTTCCACTTCCATTAGTTGTGGGTTTATGCCCCCACCCCCTCCCCAACTGGCTTTCAATGAATATTACTACCATGTGAACACCTTAGTGTTGGTCAATTAGTACCAATTTGATGGCAAGTACATGTGGTGCATATTTTTCCCTCTTTGTGATATTATCCTGGGTAGAGATTGAGCCCATTCTTTGAAGTGAGGCAAACATAGTCTTCTTTTTTTTTAATGTGTCTCACTAGAATATATGGAGTCACTGAAATTATTTCTGACCAGAGGGATATATATTTTTTAAACCTTGCTTATATCGTGTTACTGAAATTAAGAGACTACAATGAGTAGAATAACTGTCTGAGGTGCTATAATTCACCCCATCATGTAATGCTGTTGAACCACAATTAAGAATAACTTTAGTTACATTTCAAGATAACCTCTCTGTAGCAGTTTCTTTGGCATACGTCATATATATATATGTAGTTTTTACATATGCAATTTTAGAGGAAACTTTGCTATCTAGTTCATACATCTCACATAAAAGATTGTCAGCCATAATATCCAAGTAATTAAGGTTCTCAAAGAGGTGATTCCTTTTGTAATTTTGATGTATCCACCTAAATAAAATCTGAAGCATCTTAACAGACAAAATTCTATTAGCAAGAAAAATAAACAAATGGGATCTCATTTAAAAATTAAAAAGCTTCTGCACAGCCAAGGAAACTATCATTAGAGCAAATAGATAACCTATGGAATGGGAGAAAATATTTGCTCTTTACACTTCCAATAAAGGTCTGATAAAAAGGATCTATCTAGAATTTCAAAAGAATTAACAAGAAAAAATGAAACAACCCCATCAAGAAATGGACAACGGAAATGAACAGAAACTTTTCTAAAGAAGACAGAATAATGGCCAGCAAACATATAAAATATGTTCAACATCGCTAATCATTAAAGAAATGCAAATCAAAACCACAATGAGATACCACCTAACCCCAGTGAGAATGGCCTGTATCAAGAAATCTGAAAACAACAAATTCTGGCGAGGATGTGGAGACACAGGAACACTCTTACACTGCTGGTGGGACTGCAAATTAGTGCAACCTTTGTGGAAAAGAATTTTGAGATACCTCAAAGAGCTAAAAGTAGAAATACCATTTGACCCAGCAATAGCATTATTAGGCATCTATCCAAAAGAGCATAAGACATTCTATTATAAAGACATCTGTACCCGAATGTTTAAGGCAGCACAATTCACTATTGCAAGGATGTGGAAACAACCCAAGTGTCCGTCAATTCATGAGTGGATTATTAAAATTTGGTATATGTTTACAATGGAATTTTACTCAATTCTAAGAAATGACAGTGAGCTAGCACTGCTTATATTATCCTGGATTGAGCTTAAGCTCATTATCCAAAGTAAGGTGACACAAGATCAGAAAAATGGGCTCCACATGTACTCACCATCAAATTGGTACTGACTGATTAACACTATGGTGCTCAAATAGTGGTAGTATTCACCAGGGATTTAGGGGTTGGGGGGTAGACCCACATCTGAGGGATGTGGTGAGCGTTGTGGAGGGGAATGGCATAACTCTAACCCTTGCTAGGGAGAGGCAAAGATATCAAATGTAACCAAAATGTTAAAAAAAATTATCGGGTGTTGGGCAGGTAGGAGGGGGCAGGAGGGGATGGGTATTTACATACATAGTGAGTGTGATATGCACTATCTGGGGAGGGGGGATGGACACGCTTGAAGCTCTGACTCGAGGGGGGAGGGGAGGCAAGGGCAATGTACGTAACCTTAACATTTGTACCTCCATAATATGCTTAAGTAAAAAAAAAAAAAATCTGTTAGTATCTCTCTATATGAAACTAAAAGGGAATCTCATTAAAGTAGTGAGAATGTTAGAAAAGACATTATAAAAATAAAAGAGGGAAATAAGTAAAACTCATGTTTTTATGTCATAGGTGATATTTTTCTCATAAGGACTATTCCTCAAAAAGTAGCACTGAAAATAATCCAAATGTCCATCAACTAGAAAATATTTAAACACAAGGTGGTATATTCATGCAATGGAATACTATTCAGCAATAAAAGGGAATAAACTACACATACATGCCACACCATGAATAAACCTCATAAACATTATGCTAAGTGAAAGAAGCCTGATATAAAAGTCCACATATTGTAGGATTCTATTTATATGAAATATCCAGAAAAGGCAAACCTTTGGAGACAAAAAATAGATTAGTGCTTGCCAGGAGCTGGGGTGGAAAAGGAGATTAACTATAAATGAGCATGAAGAATCTTATTGGAAGGATTGAGATGTTCTAAAATAGATTTGTGGTGATGATTAGACAAGTCTAAATTTGCTAAAAATGAAGTTGAAATACATAAATTTTAATGGATGTAAATTATGCTTCAATAAAGCTGTTAAAATAATGAAGGTAGATAGATAAATTGATATGTTAATAGATTTGAAGAGAAAAAATAACAGGCACCTTATGTTTTTCCAGGAAGTGATCTGATTATTTAATTTATAGATATTCATAAACATATATGTCAATTGCTTATATCTTAAATCTGTTTCTTCAAATATCAAATCTCATGCCTCTTTAGCAATAAATGTGTTTCAGTTCCATGAGTTCTTCATAGAAGTATATATTTTGAGAAATTTGAGGCAGCTGGAGAATAGATATGACTTTTAACTATTAGTGTAAAGTGTCAGCCATTTAGTTTTAGAAACAAAAATCTTTATAGAATCCTAGTAGAGATGACTTAGTGAAATTTTTGAGCTGTTAATTTGTGAAACTTCTGATATAAATTTTGTATTTGCAGAAGAGGTACCAGTTCAAATTCCAATGATGAAGTCACCTTTGGACAAGATCCAACTGACTCCTGGGCAGGCATTGCCTCCTGGATTCCCTGGACCATTCATTTTTGCTGATAGTCTGTCCTCCGTGGAGACTCTGTTGACCAACATTCAGGTCAACAATATTTCTATAAACAAAATAAATGTAATACAAGACATTAGCACCTACATACATTATTTAATATTTGATAAATTAAAACAGATAAGATGAACTGCATGTCATTTGCTGTACTTTGACAGGGTCTACTGAAAGTGGCGTTGGATAATGCTCGCATCCAAGAGAAGCAGATTCAGCAAGAAAAGAAGGAACTGAGGATGGAGCTCTATAGAGAGAGGGAAATTAGAGAAAACCTTGAAAGACAACTTGCAGTTGAGCTTCAAAGTAGAAGTAAGTTTAACAAGTGCAATTGCCCAGTGAATATTTTGTTGGAAGTATTTTCAATAGTAATAAAAAATATTCTCAGGAATAGGTTAGAATTTCTGAAAAGAAATGACAAGCTAAGAATCCATATTGTGTATAAGCCACAAGGTAAGAAATTTCTCTCTCTCTCTCTCTCTCTCTCTTCTAAAAGACAATAAGCTAGATCTGCACTTTGGGTCAGTTGCAGATTTAAAAACATGAATATTCATAGTTCTCTCACAATTTCATAAAATCAACCTGGATAGAGATAATCTTAAAATTCCTTATATATTAAATTATTACTCTTTGTCAGGAACAGTGCTAGATTATGAAATTATAAAATGAATAACATTCAGTCCTGTTTTTAAGGGATTTAAAAGACTAGAAAAAATAGACTAGTTTAAAAGACTAGAAAAAATAGTTAATTTAAAAACAAAGTGGCAAGAGTAACCATGGCCAATCTATATGGTTATATAGTGAGGGAGTAGTTAGGTTAGTTTACTGTTGGTTGTGAGATGGTTAAGGAAGACTTTCTGACATGAATCTGAGTCTTAAAGTATCAGTAGACTAAAAAATAGTATATGTGTATTTGAGTGATTTGGACATCCTAGTCAGAGGTATCAGTTAGCAAAGGCATAGGGAGAAGAAACTTCATACATGAATGGCTAAGTACATTTTATTACAGTGGCTTTGAGTTTTATGAAATGAATGGTAGAAGAGCATGCAGGATGATGGGGATAGGAACTAACTTATGAAGGGCATTTTTAACCATGTAAAAGATTAGCTTGGACTTTATCCTGTAGGTGACGGGAAGCATGGGAATTTTCTGGTCTGATTTCAGTTGGATAGATTCTGGTGTTGGGAATAGATTGGGGGAGGTGAAAAACTAGAAATAAGGAATTTATGCAAAATGAGATTGCTCACATCCAGACAATGGTGAGGAGAACTGAATTAGGGTAGCAGAAGTAGGTATGGAAAGAAAGGGGACAGAATAGAGAAATATTGAATTATTCACAAATAGAATAAACTTTCTAACCATTGGTAGCTATTTTATTATCTACAGCAATGGATAAATGAGACTGGTTCATATCAAAACCACAAAAGATTTGCAATCTCACTTTAGTCAATATTTCTATATCTTCCCTACATTTACCATAAAACACCAAATGGCAGCATAGGTGACTTTTGTGAATTTGAGCTTCTTTCCCTTCCCTGATTACTCTTCTATGGAACAGTCATGAAGCCTAAAAATAAGTAAAGAGAGTGGGAAGAAGAGGCAAAGAAAGGCAGAGAAAAATCCACAATCTAGATATAACTCCCTGAACAAGTAAAGATGATTCCATTTGAATGAAATCCAACTAACCTTATATTAATCCCAAGTGGCATGTTATGCTCTGAAATTTGTTTCAAGACATTTAAAATGTACTGTATATTTTTTTAGGGCCAATCATTTATTCAGTTCAAAATGGAAATCCAGTCATTGAATTTAAAAATAAATATGTTTTTTTTTATATTTTTCCAAGTTAATTAAATACCATAAAACAAAGGCTAAATTATCTTTTTAAAATTTGGTGAAATTAGTATGTTTCTGATATTTGGTATGAAAACTAGGATATTGTGATTAATAGTCATAATAATTCACATTTCTTTAGTTCTACTAAGTGAAGTATTCCAGGAATGGACAAACAAGCACAACATGTACTCACCATCAAATTGGTATTAACTAATCAACACTTATGTGCACATATAGTAGCAACATTCATCGGGCATCAGGCAGGTGCCAGGGGAGGAAAGGATGGGTATATTCACACCTGATGGGTGCGGTGTGCACTGTCTGGGGGATGGACATGCTTGAAGCTCTGACTTGGCTGGGGCACAGGCAATATATCTAACCTAACATTTGTACCTCCATAATATGCTGAAATAAAAAAATAAAAATATAAAAAACCCTGAAAAATCATATGTTAACTATAATAAGATTCTTAAATTGGCTTATAAAAATCTGCATGTAGTAAAATTGGCTTCTATAATAACTTTTAGTTATCTACTCATTCTGATTTCTGTTTACTAACTTTCTGTAGACACCTCAGATCTGTAATTATAATTGATATCATATATACTGTCCTTTAAAAAGTCCTAGACATGGTAGATATAATGTTGTATCTATTATTAAATTTACTGTGAAGTATTTGTGTTTAATAAATTTAATATTTATTACAATATAATAATAATGATACCACTACTGCTATTACTATCATTGTTACTATTACTCTCATTATTGTAACTACTAATACTACTAGCTAATGCTTATCAACTGTCTACTACAGGTTAAGCACTGTTTTTAGCATTTTACATCTAATGACTAACATAATTATAGGAAACTATTATACTCATTGATTTATAGAAACTATGTACTACATCTCTATGAATCTCAGTACCTCACCTATTAAAATAATTGTACTAGACAATCACTTAAATTCCTTCCTACTTCCTTCCATATCTCAGTATACCCAACTTTTTATGACAAAGAGTAAACTCTTTATCTAAAGTCACAGGATGTATTAGACAGAGGGGAAGACTGATGTTGTGGTTACAAAGTAACATCTCTCCAAGGATATAGTAAGAATAGAGTATGTATATGTATTATATATATAATATATTTAGTATATGTATACATATAATATATTTATTTTATTATTTTTTTATTTCAACATATTATGGGGATACAAATGTTTAAGTTATGAGTCTTGCATTTCCCCCCCTTCTCCCCTGGAGTCAGAGTTTCAAGTGTACATATATATAACTATATATATAAAACTATGTATAATTATATATGTATTAAAAGAATCCCTGTGACTTTTTCTAATCAAATTATTTGGTTGGAATATTCCATACTCAATATTACATATTAAAAAATTATCTAATTACCTTTTTGTTGCTAGCCAGTCTGTGTTATCTGAATTAAGTGTATATACATATATATAATAATATTCTTTGCAGATTAAACACTTAAAATCATAGAATTATAGAGCTACGAGAAACCTTGGAGGTCACTTGTCTTGGTACCCTGACCAACTATATGGTTTCTAGGCTTTTGAACAACTACCTATATGATCTTTGGTCCTTAGGCTTTGAAAACTAGTAGCTATGTGATCTTGGATAATTTTTTAACCTTTCAAGGACTTAGTTTCTTCATCTGTAAATTGGAGATAATAGTACTTTCTTTGCTGGGGAGTTTATTGTTTATTTGACTTGCAACATAGTAGGTTTTTTGCAGCAGCATCACTACAGACACATGAGTAATGTTAGTAATGTGTTTGTTGTGCTACGACAATGTTATTGTGACTACAATGTCACTAGGCAATAGAAATTTTTCAGTTCCATTATAATCGTATGGGACCTCCATCATATATGGGGTACATCATTGACTGAAACAATGGATAGACAGATATTTGCCTTTATAACTGGTAACATTTCAGAGAAATAGACACTTGCCATTTTCAGTTTTAAAGATCATGTTTTGCAACCCAATAGATATTTTTAGGTTTTCTTTCTTCATTTTGAAATATGAATAGAAATCAATAATCTGATGAATAATAAGAATATCTTTCTTAAGAGAATTATAAAATATTTAATGCTATCATTAAATGCATGTAGTGAGTCAAAATAAAAAAAACAATTATTCACCCACACAGCCACCATTATATAAGTGCATGTGTATACACCCTAGAAATGTGAAAATAAAAAGAAGTTGGTTGTGTGATTAAACTGCAGTAAACAAAACACTCTTTGGATGTGCCTAATGAGAACTTGTGCCAAAAGAAGCTAATCATATGTCAACTGAAACGTTAATAGTTCTCTCTGTATCTATACCTATATTTATGGTTTATAATTCATTAAAACTGGCAGCCCTATTGCATTGACCAAGCTTTTGCAAACTACCTTTTCATATTTCAGCTACCATGCAAAAGCGCCTGAAAAAGGAGAAAAAAGCTAAGAGAAAACTGCAGGAAGCCTTGGAATTTGAATCAAAGCGTCGAGAACAAGTGGAGCAGGCACTTAAGCAAGCCACCACTAGTGACAGTGGCCTAAGGATGTTAAAAGGTAATGTCTAATTTGGACTTAACACTCAAGGTAAACAAAGTAAAACCTGATTTAAAAACGAAAGAAGGAAGGAGAAAGAAAGAAACAAACAGACAAACGAACAGACAAAAAGAAAGATTGACTTTGTCTAATAATAATTAGAAAATCAATGTGAGGCCAAAATGTTTTAGGTTGTGAATTAAATGTGGTCAAAATAATCCCTATTATAGGAGATACAAATAGCCTAGGAGTAACAGGAAATCCTGCTAACATTTGCAGTGGAAGCAATAATACTGATATCCTCCCTTCATCTAAAATGTAAGTGCTTTATATCTATTCACATTAGAATACACTGATACTTGGTGAACTATATTTTGATCTGCTATAGGATGCTGGTTCCTTTAATGCAGATTGCATCAGTGTTGAGGTGCCTAAAGAGGCCTAGTTGAAAAAGAGTGTTGTAAGTAAATCCTTGGAGATCCCACTGGAGGAAGTGCTTGCATTGTGAAACATCTTAATTCCAAACTTTTCTATTCCATTTTTAATTTGGAAATTCCATAACATTGTTTCATCTTATTTAGACTCAATTTGAAGTAAATGTTCAAATAAACATGTACACACACAAACAGAACCTTTTCACATCACAATTACTTTTGCAATTTATCTGAAGAGCACAATAATAAAGCATTTGTCCCTAGAGCCATAGAGCAAATACTGCATAAAGACCACAAATCATAATGTGTATTTTTATCTTCACTTGCACTTACCAGATAGATAATATCATTATCTATCACATCTTACAAATGGAAAATACACCAAATACAATAAGAATCAGGAACCTCTACTTATGCAATTGCATCCATCATCTTTTTCTTGTTCCACAGTCAGAGCATGTTAACCCAATAGTCTTAATGGGATTTTTATGAACAGATTATTTTTCTAATATTTATCTTGAGGGAATGAAATGAATAAAGAAGTATTTACTATATACCCGGAAATATATGCACAATTGTAAAATTCAGCTACACTTTATAATCCTCCCTCCTACCATTAAAAACAAATAGACATACAAAAACAAAAATACCACCCAAGATCTTGTGCTATCTACAGGACCAAAGTACCTGCTTACTGGAGTTTTCCCTTTAAATCGAATCAGGAAACATAAAAGTATACCCTAATCTTGACTGTCACTTCTTTCAGATTCTGGAATTTCAGATACTGAAATGGAAAACAATGGGACTCCTCATGATAGTGCTGCTATGCAAGGTATAGTAAACTCATACTTATATGTGACCCTGGGAGTGGGGGTAAGGGATGAGCTACTATATTGATATTCTTCATAAGTAAGTTTTAACTCTTCTTACTTTATGACAGAAGAAGCAATTTGCAGTGTTTTTTAAGAAACAAATATATTTGACATGTCTTTTAAAAACCTAATAACAGTAAGGATACTTAGGGACTAATAACTTTACATATACAATGTGAGCAAATTATGTTTAGCTATTAAAAGGATAAACATTTATATGTTAGGGAAATTCTAAAAATGCACAAAGAAGTATATAATACAGTATTTTTTTCTTATAACTTCATTACTGTCTGTAAAAGGCACAGGTACAATAATTTGTAACCTATCAATATTTTAAAGGTGCTCTAGACAAGATTTTTCATCAGCCTTTAAATTTTGATGTTAATTTTAGAAACCACCTAAATATGTAAATAAGAACACGACTTGTAATTCATGATTTATAGGATTCCCATAAATGCTTAGATACTTTAAAATCTTTAAAATAAAGGCAACACACATAACCTAAACATTTGTACCCCCATAATATGCTGAAATTAAAAAAAAATATTTATTAGTAAGAAAACTACTGAAACAAATGAATAGAGTCTCCCTGGAGTGCAAAAGCACCTAAAAATTAGACCTTAATTTGACCAGTGGAAATTTTCCAGTGTGATCTTAGTATATATTTCTAGCCCTTTATATGTAGATTATATTTATTTTTACATTGATTGTAATACAATGTCTCATTTCAATTAAAAAAACCCACATATGTATGAAAAAACTATTTCCTAACTTTGAAAAACAAAGACAACCACGGATATGTTGCTTGCTGGAGGTTTAATGAGTGACTTTCTACTGTGTGGTGACTGGATCTAGATGAAGGCAACAGAACTAGATATGACCAAAAGATCAATTTGGGTTTACCTGAGGGTCACCATTTTATGTGGCAGATTCAGAAAATTTAGAAGCTCCCATTCATATAGTTTTACAAATCATCTTTACAAATCCAGGAACATCAGAGTTTATGGATCTTCTGATAATACCTGATTCTGGTGCAGCTGGGTAAGCCTAACTAATGAATTAACTACGTTAGGGTGAAAGCATGTACACTTAGCTCATTTGCAGTTTCTTATCCCCTTTTTTGCTTGCTTGCTTTCTTCTCTGGGTTTAAAGGATGTGTCTATGTGAGAAAGGTCAATTTGAATGGAATTCAATGTTTGTCCAATCAATTCACCACAGCTAAATTAATTAAGAAAAGTCCCACTAGTTGGCTTGGTATTTGAGGTTACCATAATATACAAGAGATATGGTAGCAATGAATAGCCTGAAGCATTTGATCCCTTCTGAATTAGTGACACACAATTATAGAAAGTCTTTAAGAAGCATTGAGTTTGACTGTGTCCTGCACTCAGAGGGATGTAAGATCAGCTTTGGAACTAGAGGAGGGAAATCAAATACACCACTAGTGAGTTTTACCTTTATTATCTTTTAATTCTGCACCTCCAATTAATTCCTGTTTTTTAAATTTATATGATGCCTTTAGTTCATAAGAGAAACATCTTTCCCAACTTTGAGATAAATACAAGCTTATGAACTGTCCTAAAGTTATTTAATTTCCATGCAACAAACAATATCTTATTCATGGGCAGTCAATTAGGTGATATAAGCAAAATGTAGATTCACTCTCCATTTAGCTCCAGTGTTTTTTATGAAGTCTGCAAAGAATGGCTTTTGCATATTAACTTGTACTTAAGGAATGACACATTTAATATTTGTTTTCAATGAGCATACTTTTAATGAATTCTACTAGTTTTTGCAGGCTAAACATGAGCGAATTAGATGCACTTTTAAAGAGATTGGGATACAACTTATTTTAAAGCAAAGAAATGGACTTTTATTATTTTTTTCAAGCTACAAATAAGATTGTCTAGCATTTATGGTCAATATTGTCTATATATGGTAAATATGGTGGCTTAATTATTCCTTATTGAATTTCTCCCTTTTAGATTATATTAAATAATGTTCTTGAGAACTATGATAAAAATGGAAAAGTCCACATTTTCCCTTCTCTTAGGACCATTTGTAAATGATAATGCTCCCATAATTACTTTATAGAAAACTATAGTGAATGTCTTGCATTAATATGACAGTTGAATCACGATTTAATATCAAAAAGATTATTTTTGAGCAAAAATAATTTATTCTGTTAGCCAGGGCAATAGGTGCCTGAAAATATTATCAGAACTAATCTTAAACATACTTCATCAAATCAATCAGGTCAAGTAATTGCCTAAAAATTCCCAGTCATTTTGCCTGTTATTTGAGATGCTCAGAATTGAAAGATTACTTTTGTATGTGTCTATGAACCTCAGAAAATATATTATGCTTGGAAAACATGAAATGGAAGTTTACCCATTATTTTCCCATTCTTCCTAATAAGTTTGCTTTTGTGAGTTACAGTTACGTTGAGACTTATTTTGACACTGTTTTCATCTTTTTCATGTCTCTCAATTACCCATCTTTTTTAACTTGGAAGATTATTTCCTACCATTGTTTGTGAGAGTCAATTCATGCATACGAATACAATGTCATTTCCAAAACTCATCTCCACCACAACAAAATGATTCCAGCATCAATGAAGTCCTTTCTCTTCCTATTGTCAATAGCTCTGCTGGATAGAAATCTATCTTTCTCCTAGAGCTCTCCCTTTGAAATTCAATTAGTTCCACTGTGATATCTTCTTAAGGGTATTTAAAGGAGACTTGGAAAAATTTAGCATGGCCACCCTTAGAAGCAAAAAAGCCATATGCAGTTTCATGATAATTTGTAAGTAGAATTTAGTGCAGACAAACTGCTCATGCAACAGGATTCTTATATGTATTATACATCCTTTCAGCTAAGGTATTTCATGTCTTTTATGCCTTGAATGTTGTTTAATGGATAAGATATCATGCATAGACCATCTTCCTATAAAAGGATGGAAGTATCACTTATATTTTAGTTATCTACTATAGCAATTCCTCCTGAATGTTTTTTGGTGATCAAATAATGAATAATACTCTCTCCAATGGCTGTGGCCACTACTCTAGAGGTGAAGGATTCAATTGGAACATATATACCAATGTCATCTCATCCAGATTCCTATAACACATTTGGGGGCCTGCAAGACAGCATATCAACCATCTTATCAACCAATCTCCATTTCAAATAAAATAAACGCACTGGGTGTCATTAAGTGTACCTTCAGATCAATGATTTTTGCAAATGACATTCAAGTGCTATTTGTGTAGTGCATTTTTGCTGATAAAAGCAAATTAAATTAGCACAACTACAAGTGTGCTGATAAAAACTAAAACCCAACAGCAGTACCATTAGCTAACAAAGTAATATTTTCTCTTTACTGCGTTCTGCCATTTCGTTATTATCCTATTGGAAATCTAATTATAATCCTTTTACTCCCTAGTCAAACTTCACAGTTTTTGCAAGCCTAGCACTGACAAGTGATTTCATTACATTTGATTGCCCACACCCAGATTGACTTAACTTTACTTGGAGACCTAAAAGCCCTCTCAGTTTCTCAGATTCCCTGTTTGCACATTACTGCAACAGCTCCTTTAATTAATTAGCATGAACAGCAGTAACATGAACTGCTGAACAGAAAATAACATCATTTTATGATCGCAGGGAGACTTCTCCTTTTGCATGTTTATACCTTAGTTAACTTTTGTATGACTATATTTCATTGTTAGGGGATATTGGTATAGTCGACAGTGCATGTTTCTTAAATTTTTAAAAATTGACACCATTATCTTCATAATAATAGGCAAAACAAACACAGAATATGAAGCTCCTAAATTTTAGGATGTAGACAACATCATTTATGAGCTGACTTTATAGTAAAAAATAAAATACTAAAAAAAAGTTCATGGGCAATGATATCATAAAGTACAAGGGCATAGTGACACATTGCTCCTGTTTCTGCCACAGCATTTCTTTGTGGATACAAAACAAAACAAAACAAAAAACTAGGAACTTTCTTTTGCAAGTGGAATGGCAATCTTTGTAAATAATTTTTACAGTTTGCTTTTTTTGACTAGATTTGACAAAGACACAAGATGATTGATTTAGAACTGAAATATATTTTCCTCCGATATTTTTCCCATAAATATGGTGGGATCCTAAATAATTTTTCTTCTTTTTGCTACTAGCACGCTAGAAGTAGATATTAAATCCAACCTAAATGCCAAAGTAAACCAAAAATTTGATGTAAAATTAAGCCTACCAACTCTTCTTTTTTCCTCCTCTGAACCATTTTTATTCAGAAAAAAATATGTAAGATCTTATTCAGAATACAAACTGACCATTCAAAGATGTAAAATTCATGATCTTATCTATGTAGTACCTGGTAAAGGTACCACTGAAAAATTAAAAACAAAATGATAAAGTATCACTTCATTCTAAGATAAGCAGATACAATTTTAACATTTATATATTTTAAATGTATATTTTATAGCATACACTAATATATAATATAAAACATATAATAAATCTTTATAATATAAAATATATGTGAATGTGTATATTCTTATCCATTCTCTTGAAATAAATTTGAACAATGTGTATCTTTTCTTTTTGCTGCTTGCTTAGTAACCTAGAACAACATTCCTCTAATGAGCTTGAGATGTTTTGCCAGTATTTACTAAAAACACCTACCCTTGGGATAAGATGATCATTGTAAAATTTGGAAGAATAATAAGAAAAATGATGGTAGGAGCATGAAAGGGGACAGGAAAAGATAAATCATGTATTATTTCTTGTCATGTATGTGATATGATAAGAATAACTAAAAGGAGAGCAGACAGAATTTCTCTATGGGCTTTTCTACTAATGTCCACCACAGCGTGATCTCCATCTTTCTCTAGGGATTCCACAGTCTGCTTCCTGCCCTAAACTTAGCAACCATTACTTTATCTCTTTATGT